ATATGTATTTAGTAATTGATAAAAACAAACCAAGGCGTTTAATATGATGAAGATACGTGTAATTTAATAGGTACTAATTATTTGCTTAGAGGTCTACTGTCTCTCAGACATATGAGCACTTTGTTCTAGCACAGGCAGTATGTTTAGCATTGTTTGGATGCCGACTGTATCCATATCATTGCAGCTGAGAGGCCATGTTTCTTCCAGGATATTATTAACTGACATGTTTTGTTGTTAAAGGCAGGAAGTTGGAAATGGCTTTCAGATTATATCCTGGTCTAATCTCCAGACCCTGTATTTATGAAAATACAGATTTGCTGTGAATATGTAACCATCGTCTGCACAGCTGACCTTATGATAGGCAGATGTTTTCCCCCAGGTGGGCCTGCCTGGTCTAACCATGTGAGCCCGATGGCACAAAAGGTAAAAAGTAGGATGGATGGAAAGGACCCGTATGCCATTGCTGGATTGGAGAGGGCAGGGACGGAGTGAGAAGGGACATGGAAACCCCCCCAAGCCCCAGTGGCTACTAGCTGAAAGCAGGAAAGCACGGGCCTGCAGCCTAAGCTGCAAGATCCTGGAGTCCCTGATGGATGAGCTCAAAGGCGGAGAACACAGAAGCCACTAGAGCTGTGCCAGCCCTGCGACCCGTACAGCTGAGATCATGAGTGTTGTAAGATCTGAGTTCTACGGCAAGAGAAACTTTGACGATAGTGAGGAAATAATGGTTTTATGCATATGTAGGGGAACTGATACTGCTCTCTCTCTCATTGTCTTCCCCATGATCGCATCGTTACACAAATCTTGTTCTTTGTCCATCTGTCTATTTTCAAATTGTACAAGATCTTCACTGTTTTGTTGGGGATACAGACTTGGAAAGATCTATTCCAACACTACAGACAAGTATACTGTCTTTATTTCAAGTTTCCTTGAACTCCTATTCCTTTGCATTATGAAGAGCATTCCTTAAGGTACAAGGCTAGCACACTTTTGTCTCTCCTAGACATACTGATGAAACCAGAATGGTTTGTAACAGTATGTGTGTGTTATTATTCTGATTAGGTTTTCAGGGGTTCTGAAATGTGGTCTTAAATTCTATCTTTGCAAACTCACTTCTGTTGGCTTGTTTCTCATCAGCCTGAGAACTCTGAAATGAAAGGGTGGTTCTCTGTGGGGCATCCCAGAATAGCTCAACTTGTTTCCCCTGGCTCAGCTAGAATACAGAACATGATATAAAATGTTCCTTCTACTTCGTCCTTCTTTTGGAAATGTAAATAGATTTTTTTTCCCATCACTGTGGGGTCAGACCCTGACTCCAAAGGAACATGAATTAGAGCAGTTTCAACCTTGGCAGTAGACATGTGACTTGGTCTGTTCCTTTCCCTTGGGCCCAGCTTTCCAGAGCCATGACTTTATTTTAAATGTGGTAGAAAGAGTTTGGTTTTGATTATGTGCCTTTCTGACTCCTGATAACTTTCCAGTTAAAAGCTTTTGTGGGGATTTTCTATCCAGCCTCATTTCAGAAATCAAAACCATCCTGGTTCCTGTCCCTTCCTAGGATTGCCATCTGCAGTAATGGCACTCTTCACTCTGCTCTCTTATTAGAAGCAGGCCTGAGCAGGGGCTCTTATGGAGTATTTCCAGAGGCATAAAAGGAAGGAGCCTGCTTCTTAATTTGGGACATTTCCCAAACCGTATTGTAAGCTCACTGGATTCTTACTGGTTTCCCAAAGCTTTAAGTCTCTTCTGCTCCAGGGTCCGATTCCCAGTTTCTGCTGCCTCCTCTTAAACCATTAAAGCTGTGAAAAGTAATCCCTTCACTGAACAATTTTATCTAGTTCAAACACACCAGAGACCCATCTCAGTGACCATTATTCATTTGTCTTGAGTGAAAGGTAGAACAAAATGATCTTTAACAAAACTCTTAAAGACTTTTCTTCAAGACTTCCTGACTAAAACATATATTTGTGTGTTAGCCTGCAAATTGGGTAGAAGATTCACACCTCTTTTGAAATATGTAATATTATTTTATAGAGATAAGATATCTAGACCCTAGAGTAGACCAAATGTAACTCTTCTGCTTTTGAAAGAAACGCTATGCAGAGGACAGAAGTAAGAGAAGCAGGCCGTTCCTAGAACATGGGGAGCCACAGTCGCAGTCTCCATAGTGTCGGAGATTGAGCTGAGGCTTCTAAACTCCGTGTCCTAGAACCTCTGTGGGAGGTTGGTGGTGGTCACCTCTGCGCTGTGCTCACCTCTCTGATGACACTTGTTTGCTCCTTGTTCCCTGGACTATTTAGGCTCACTCCCGCCTCACCTCTCTCTAGATTTATTCAGTAGTCTCCCTGGAGGATGGGCAAGCAGCTCTCTACAGTGAGAAGCCAGTCACCCTAACAGTAGCCATGCACTTAGTTTAGGTGACAGCAGGAGGAAGAGCAAAAGTTGACTTCGTCTCCTGTGTCAATCAGGCACTCTACCCCTCACCCAAGATCCCTGAAGCTTCTTCTCCCTGGGTCTAACCAGTTCTTTTTCATCAGCCTCCAGTTATCTAGGATATCAAGCAGCAAAGCAAACCAGTATTTTCTAGAGATGTTCATTAGTGAAAATCAATTAGGAAGCATTATTCAAAAACCTAAGCCTTTTTATCAGCAGTTAGTCAGCAAACATTAAACCCTATGTGTTTCAGGTCTTACCTTGCAGTTTCTAAGCATACTCTCCTTAGACTATAAACTGAAACCTTTTCTTCCTTCCTTCCTTTCTTTCTTTCTTTCTTTTTTAGTATTTGTATGATTTTTATTTTTTTATTTAAGAATTTTTTTTATTCATTTTACATACCAATCACAGATCTCCCTCTTCCCTCCTCCCCCACTTCTACCCTCCCCCCCTTCCCACCCTCCATTCCCTCCTACAAGAAGGTAAGGCCTCTCATGGGGAGTCCGAGGAGCCTGGTACATTCAGTAGAGGCAGGTCCAAGCTCCCCCCACCATCAAGGCTTTGTGAGGTGTCCCACTATAGGCAGTGGGCTCCAAAAAGCCTGCTCATGTACCAGGGTTGGATTCTGATCCTACTGCCAGGGGCCCCTTAAGCAGATCAAGCTACATAACTGTCTTGCCTATGCAGAGAGCCTAGTCCAGTCCCGTGGAGGCTCCACAGCTACTTGTCTAAATTTCATGAGTTCCCACTAGTTTGATTTGGTTGTCTCTGTAGTTTTCCCCATCATGACCTTGATGCCCCTTGCTCATAGAATCCCTCTTCTCTCTCACTTCACTGAGCTTGGCCTGGTGTTTGGCTGTGGATCTCTGCATCTGAGGAAACTTTTTCTTTGACAAAGAAAATAGCATCTCCTTTAGAAGTCTGTTTATATTGAGATAACTAGTTTACCTCTGCTACACCCAAATCTCACTGACGTCTGAGATTTAGGGAGACTTTTATATCCTAACTGGCTGGGTTATCTACTCCAGGTCATTGCTAGAGGTAGCCTTTGAGTGCAGCAACCAGAAACCCAAGAATCCACATTGCTCTAAAGTCAGGGCAAGTCTAGAGGGATTGTTCTAGGAACTGTCAGGGATTGACTCAGAGATGCTCTTCCCACACTGCTGGGGGCTAAGTGGAGGTCTACTGCCTTGTCTCTTGGATCACTCCTCCCTTGTACATTCTATAAAAGGTCCCCAGAGAGGAATTGGTAACAGAGTCTTAACATGCTTATTACTAGCTTGTAGTGTTCCAGGCAGGTAGGAGTGTCATCATCCATCAGCTTCTTAGATGGCCGTCTGTCAGAAGCATCTGTAGGAAGACTATGGGGGCAAAAACTGTTGTGGCCATCACAGGTCATGACTGGCATTGCCTTTCTCACATGCTCTCCCATCCGTGAGAAAATTAGCCCCCGTGGAATCTGCCTGCTTATGTCCAGGTACCCTGCGGGCTTTCTCTGGCTGCTTCTTGACAGTACTAACCAATTTTTTATGGTTTTCTATGTTTTTTAAAAAATTCCATAGAAAGCCACCTTTGGTGTGCTGTGATAACACTACACTTCCCAGTACAACTTGAGGGTGTGATGTATGAGGCTGGGCTGACAAAAGCGTGACTAACTCCAGAGAGTTAGCAAAGCAGGGCAGTGGAGTGTTGCTCCCGTTTAAGAGTTCCTTCTTCCTCTGTAGATCTCTGTACACTGCTTCTCTTAATTCTTTTCTTGTCTGACCTTTGGGTTTTGTTACTCTTTAACATCTCAGAGGAGGAAGTAAAAGTAGATAAACCCATGTAAATCAGGTAAATGCTTGTTTGCCTGAGTTCTCTTTTTATGAAAGAATAGAAGGGTAAAGGTCATTTGTAATTTTTTAAAAATGGAAGATGCAGACATAGTCATTGTTGCTTTTTTTTAAACAAGGACTAAGCTTATAGTTTTCACCTGTGAAATTCTTTTCTTCTGAGATCTCTAAATATTATTCTTTTTAAGTTCTTAGCAGCATCTAGGGACTAGGGTAGGACTTTGCCTCCTCCTCATAGCTCCCCATTCCTTCACCTTTGCTGTAGATCTGGGAGGAAGCCAGGAACTGACCTGCATTTTAGTGTTCGTAATTTGCAGTGTTCACTCAGGGAAGGCTTGGGAACTGAAGGAAATTCATAGGATGGATATCACACTGCAGATGGCTCAGTGTCACACGAAAGCCAATGGCAGTCACTCCTGCAGCGCAAGCTTGGTTGTCTCGTTGGTGGAGAGGGCAGCATTGGACGGCTCGGTGTGTTGGGGTCTGCCAGTTCGAAAGGATGCTGTCTCCAGAGCCTCAGCTCCATGAGTCAGAACGCAGAGTGTGAGTTAGAGCTAAGTGGCCTGGGGCAGTCAGTCCAGGTGGTTCCCTTTGTTGACTCAGCAACAAAGTCCTGTCTCCACCGTGAGGTTGAGATGTCGGATTTGAAAAGTACATTTGTGAATGGAAATATAAACTAGTCTCTTGCTAATGCTGTTTTCTTTTTCTCTTTTGTTTTTTGTCTCCTTTCTCTAGCATGAAAGACTTTCTAGGTAAGAATTCTGTTTTATATGCATGCTTAATTCTTGTGAGTGAATGCATGTCTGGTTCAATTTAGTGTCGCACAATAGTTTAGTACTGCTCTTCATAGCCTTCCTTTTCAGTTCTTCAGTCACCACAATGATTCAGACTTACCTCTTGCCCAGGATTCTAGAACAGCTTTCGACTCACCTTCCTGCCACCAGATTCTCTTCTTTCCAGTTCACTTTGTATATTTCCAACTGATGAACTGTCCTGCAGCACCAGTTCCAGACCTTGGCCTTCCCTGCACTTAGTTCACAATCCCCTAGAGCAACAGATCCTTTTAGAAGGATACAGAAAGTGCCATTTAGACCTGCAGGCAGGTATTGTAGGTGCAGAGAAGGGGCAGTTAACCCAATCTCATAGTTCAGAAGACGAGGTGATTGCCAAGTGGAACCCTGAATTGAGTTTGAGATGATATTGTCACTTTATAGTGAATCCAACCATGTATCTCATATCTAAATGGTGCTTGTGAATAGTTCATCACATGAACTAAAAGCCTGTTTTTCAATTACTAAAATAAATAAGATCCTCTGTAATTTTTCACATAGTATCTAAGGTACAAAACTGATCTTCCTAAAGAAGAAAATAAAAATCATAGCAACTTTGGAACTGAATGTTTGAATCTCTTCTTCTCCACTATTCCTGTGATGGAAAATTAAAAGGCGGTGGGATAGAGAGCAGATGTGGGTCTAGAATGGCACAGGGCAATTTGATCTCAGAATCTGCTTGCTAGTTGAGCTAGCTCTACCTTGTTGACATATGCTAAGACTTACATGTATTTTTCCTCCGTCTGCCTCTCACCAAGTACCAGCCAAGAGTAAATAATTTACTTGTAAAGTAGCATAGAATGACGTAGCTTTGCAAAGTAAAGAGTAGTATTTTGCTGTAGCTCATTGAAGGACAGTTTCTCTACACACTTCAAAGTACAGGCTAAGCTTTTCATGATTAAAATATGGAAGTACTGGGACAACAGTAAAGACGGGGGCTGGTGGGAGGCCTCAGCTAAACGAGGTGTGTGCCACCACACCTTACAGCTGAATGGGACCCTGGGAAGAACCAACCCTCAGAGCTGTCCTCCGACCGCCACACTCTCTCTCTCACACACACACGTACACCCATCAATAAATGAGGAGATGTATAAATATATCAAAAATAATAAGCAAAGAGATTGCCAGAACAGTTCATAGCTCCTTCAAAAATCATGTGTATAATGGGAATTTTCATCTCATGGGTGGGTAGAGACTTATTGATTGAGAAAATGAACTATTTTAACTTGTTTGTTTTGAGAAAATACATCCTTCAATCCATACTAAAAAAAAACAACAGAAATATATTTCAAATAGTTAAATTTTTAAAAAGAGAAAGACCTTTTCTACCAAAATAGTACAAGATAGTATTTTAGTATCTCTATATAGGAAATACCTTCCCAAACAGTACCCTAAAGATTATAAGTGTCAAGTTTCATTACATATAATTTTACCTCATTGCTATTAAAAATAACTGTAAATAGCTGGGCATGGTGACTTACACTTCTAATCCCAGCACTTGGAAAGCTGAAGCAGGGGTTCAGGAGTTCAAGGTCAGCCTGGACTGCATAGGAAGTTCTAGGCCAACTTGGGCAATATGAGGCCCTGTCTCCAAAAAAAAAAAAAAAAAAAAAAGAGAGAGAGAGAGACTATTGATGCTTTTAAAATTTAAAAAAGTCACTATAAACAGATAAAAAGTGAAGCGAGAAAAAAAGTTGTGCGATGTATTACACGTTTGTAAAAAGCCCTAATGTATAAGAGCATTATCTCGGGGTGTGACTAGAGAAAGGGGCAAGCTGCCTGCCTTAATTATAAGCAGAGTGTGACTAGCCATCCAGGAACAACAGCACTGGATAATCACATGCCTCTCTCATGATTTAAAATACCAAAATAGGACCATACAAATACCATTTTCCCCATAGCAAGTTTGAGGCCGTTCTGTGCTGTATGAGGCCCTGTCTCAAACAGAAAACAACCACCACCTAAAAAAGGTAATTGGCCAACTGTACCAAGACTTATAAATAAGACTGCACATTTTATTATTGTTAATAGATATATTAATAGCTAAAAGTTTTGAAGCAATGTGTCTATCAGCCGAAATTTGATTAAATTACCGGATAACATGGAATGAATTATGTAGTCTTTTTTTTTTTTTTTTTAAGGAGGAAGTATATTTTTACTTGCATGGTAAAATGCCCAGAGAATTGTAAATATAGGGGATAGGAGTTAGACAATGTAGGTGTTATCTGGCTTTATGGGAATACTTTTTTAACATTTTTGTATATGACATTCCAGAAGTATATGGAATCTATTGTTAATGACAGCTATTTCTTGGGCAAGATTATGGGGTAGATACTTTGGTATTACTTAATGTATTGCTTTTGTAGTCACAAAAATCATCAATACAAAGATCTCCATGAACAGGGAGTGGGAAGGTGAGAAGAACACAAGTTCTGGCGTCTCTAGACGTGGCCCCAGCTCCCTTTGCGGCTCCCACCTTACTGTGGCCACACAGCCTTCGCTGGTACCATCCTCTGCCTCACTTCAGCTCCTCCAGCTTTGCCAACAGCTTCTGCAGAAACCAGACAAGGTCCCAGAGCTGTGATGGTGCACACCTAGGCCGCTCAGGGCTGTGCTCTGGAAGGCTGGTTTGCAACAGCACTTGGATATGTGCTACACTTGGTGAGCAAAGGGAAGCTCAGGAAAACAGAGGCTGGTGTGGAGGGTTAGAAGACACTAGGGTACTCCACTGGTAACCAGCAAGAGGCGTCTCCCTGGCACTCTTAGCGGTGCTGGAGATAAAGCTGCAGCAGCTCCAGAAGCTCCCTTGCCGGAATGTAGAATCTTATCTGCAAGGACAGGTCTTGACATGGAGTACAGCAGAGAGAATGGGCTGCTGGAGAAGGACTCCAGCAGACCTGCTGTGCACCCGAAACCCCTAGCGTCTTGCCGTGGCCGCCGTCCCTCCCCTCTACCCGCTGGCTCACTCTCCAAGCCCATGTGTTTCTGATTCATTGACAGTTCATTATAATCATTTTCCAAGAGCCCTTCAGACCCAAGAAACTTCAACTTTTAAAGGCACACTCTTTAGGGAATCTGTTCAACTCCAAATTAATTTGAAAGCTCTAAGATTTCAGGCAGCACCTGGGTCCAAGCCACCAATTTTTCAAGTGAGCTCCACTCTTGGCAAATGATGGCCTCTCTCCCCAAGCTGCCTGCTTGCTCCTGTGCACACTCACTCATGCAGTGTGACCATGAGACCTGGCATGCTGCCTAAGAGATTCAAGGAAGGCAAGTTTCTGGCCAGAGCTCTCAAATACCTCCAAGATAGAAAAGGCACACACTAGCCTTAGACTTTACATACACACACATACACACACACACACACACACACACACACACACACACACACACACACACTTTGTTCTCAAGACCAACTTTTATCTTGAACATTTATCTTATAGGTTGGAGTCAGGAGGCAGTAACCCAACCAGCAGCGATTCTTACGGTGACCGAGCCTCAGCAAGAGCCCGTCGGGAGGCCCGGGAGGCTCGCCTCGCCAGCCTGACCAGCCGGGTAGAAGAGGACAGCAACAGGGATTATAAAAAAGTAGGATCTCTTTCCAGATTCCTGTTCTTGCCTTATGATGTATAAACCTCTTAGCCTTTCCCCCAGTAGAAAGAAATGAGCAAACTTCTAAATAAGTTGTACAAAAGGTAATTAATTCTTTGCCTCACCTCTCTCCCCACTAAAGACTATTTGTATATTGTTTTTACTACAGTAAGTGTATGTATGCCTAGAACCAAATATTTAAAAGTATAAGGGAAAGTAAGAAATTTTCTATTTTAAGAAGAGTAAAAAGTGTAATGCTGTGTGTCTGAGCCCATGAGAATTATTTGGTTAGGCCTATTTTTAAGGAACATGTACTTTAGTAAGGTGTTTTGAGTATCAACCAAATACTTTTTGGTGTGAGTTTTTAAGAATTCATTACCGTCCATCTCTGGCTTGGAGAGGAGTTAAGTCATTCCCATCCCATTTCTCTTGCTTCTTGCTCTTTGGACTTTGAAAACAATCCTTTTCAGGTGTTTGAGATAACATTTGGTTAAGGAAATTTTTCTTTGTTGATGTTTTTGTTAAGCAGAATTTCACGAAAATCAACACACTGGCTCCAGAAACAATAATTCTGTTTTGTCTGGAAGTCATACTTTAAGCAGTGCAGAGACCATGTGGGAGGAGTGGGGGACTGGTTTTTCTCTAGAGTTCAGCCTTCCTGCCATCGGAGTGTCCCTGCTGGCCAGATCATGCCATCTGGAAGCCGGAGAAAAGGGACTCTCCATAAACCACCTTCCCCTCCATAAACCACCTTCCCCTTCTCCACCCAGTTGATCATGGTGGCCTGGAGCAGAAAGTATGAGCTCTCCTGCTGGGAGCCCACTCAGTGGCCTGGTTCTGTTCCCTTCACAGCTCTACGAGAGTGCCCTGACCGAAAACCAGAAACTGAAAACAAAACTTCAGGAGGCCCAGCTAGAGCTAGCAGATATCAAATCCAAGCTTGAGAAGATGGCTCAGGTAAGGGGGAGGGGCAGAGCCAACTGGGGCAGTGGGGGCAGCAGGGCATTTACAAGGAGACAGGCTAGGTATCCTGGGGGCAGGTTGGGAGGCAGACTCAATGTGGCACTTCCTCAGAGCCCATCAGATGGAAGTTTTGTAGAGTCTCATTTTAAGGTTTTAGGGTTCAGTGGCTGTTTAACTTAACTGAAAACTGATAGTTACGTTCCCTCAACAACTTACTGATGTTATGAATGCTAGTAATGAATATCCACATAACTCCTCACTATCAGTACAAGTCAGGCCAGTCCTGGCTCAGTGCTAGGTAGATCTTTCTGTCCTGTTCACGCTTCAGTTCCTCTGTTCCTCACCTCCTGGAGCGAATAGCAGAACACTGTACCCAAGTACAGAGAGCCCCGACAGAGCCCCCAAACCACTACGTGCTTTGTTTACACTGGGGGTGAAGTGGTTCCAGCTTAGGTTCCGGGAGGACTCCACCCTGGATCAGAAGTGTCCCCCCTTGCATCTGGCATTCCAGAACTAGTGGAGGATGAGTGGGTAAGCCACTCCCTCTCGCTGCCAGACCGGACTTAATTACACAAAGCTTCGGAGGCTGCTGGGGTAGTGATCTCATTGCCCATGAAACAAGCCCTGCAGCGGAAAGCTACAGCAGCCTGTCTTGGGTTATTGCAGAGTTAAAAGGAAGCCTATCGAGTTATTGCCCTCCCAGAATGCCTGGGGACTAAGGATTTCAAAAGCGGAACTGAGGCAAAAAGGGCTCTTTACGAGGATATCAAATGAAAACCAGAGGTGGCTATTTAATATGGTAATATGATATAATCCAAGAGCAAAAATGAAATTAGGGCCTCATGGTGTTGCAGGCACATGGTATGTAGTAGGGGAGGGGTTGAGTACCATCTTAGCATCTTATTGTAGCCCCTCTGACATGGGAGACACAGGGAGCAGAGAGTGACCAGAACTAAACATGGCTCTTACTGGGCTTTCTGAGACCTACAGCTAACACATACTAGGTGTAAACAAGAAGAAAAGTCCACAACACAATTAGAACCTGCCACAAGTGGGGAGTGGGCTCACTTCCCCTCTGCATCCTGAGCCAGGCAGTGTGACCTGGTTCTGAATAGCTTCCAGATGGACAGTAGTTAGAACTGAGTGCAGCCCTTCCGCTGTCCCCAGAAGCTGCACACACCACAGAACATACAGGACCAGCCCCGTGGAAAGCAATGCAGCCCACGTCTCAGCTGGAGCTGCTGGTGCTAGCCTGGTGAGCTCATGGAGGTCTTGCTTTTCTACTGGCCGGAGAGGTGTCCACAGCAGCCCACACAGCTGTGCAAAGTGACCCACACAGAACATCAGAATCGAATCAGCCTTTCCCAGGCACTGGGGCAGCATTGCCTGCCGCTAGCTGCTTTGCTACGGATGCCAGGATATATTCAGTTTTACCAAATGCAAGCTATTTGAAGCTCAGAAAGAGATGATGGCGCTACAGCTGAGGCTCTGTTTACCAAAAATGGAGATGTTTGGTAGAATGGGGGTGGGGGACTGTCAGCCTCATGCGTTTGTTTGGAGACAGTTCCCACATGGACACATGCAGCATTTTACATAATAGGTCGACTCAAAGTCAAGGGAGTTATAATTTAAAGCTAAGCAAGCAAACAAAAAACTAGTTCTTTGTATTCTGAACTTTGCAAATCTCAAAATCTTCCCACTTGTCAAGCTTAGGAAAGAGATGAAGGAAAATACAAACTCCAAGATCTCCTAATGCATTTTCCCCTGTCCTTTCTGCCTCAGCAGATGCAATATAGAGGCAGACAGCCATGACCTTCAGAGCAGAAGGGAAAGTCTAGGATGAGAGCCAGAATTCCAAGTTTTACTGTTAGTTTTAGCTCTTCGGTAACTGAAGAGGAAAGAAAAGGAGAGGAGCGGGAGGAAACCTTCTACAGGACCAGCCTAATGTCTCCAGTTATTGCAAACGTCTGGGCATTGTGCTAGACAAGATAGAACAATCATTCTTTATTCATCAAATGTCTACTGAATGTATAAAACTCCGCCCAGTCCTCTAATGCTAAGAGCAAAGGAGACCAAGAGGTTCCTCTGTTCCTTGATTCAAGGCAGGACCTTAGCTGAAGTTACTCTTCTTGTTTAGTAGCCAAACCTTTTCACTCCTCTGAAGGATTGAAATTGAAAATATCTATGATGATCTAAATATATATTGTAAAGCCTTTATTCAAATAAGATCTTGTTAAGAGATTACGAAGGAAACCAAACAGATAAAGGAAACAGCTCTGTTCAGACACCAGAAAGTGGCTGAGAAGACTGCCTTGTGTGAAGACCACCACACTGGAAAGAAAATGGCCTCAGTGCTCAGAAGAGAGGTGACAGGGAAGAGCTGGTTTACAGGAGTGTCGCAGGGCTCAGGCACTAAAAAGTTCAGGGATTTCCAGCCTTTAAAGAAGGCGGCGGAGCCGGGCGGTGGTGGCGCACGCCTTTAATCCCAGCACTCGGGAGGCAGAGCCAGGTGGATCTCTGTGAGTTCGAGGCCAGCCTGGACTACCAAGTGAGTTCCAGGAAAGGCGCAAAGCTACACAGAGAAACCCTGTCTCGAAAAACCAAAAAAAAAAAAAAAAAAAAAAAAAAAAAAAAAAAAAAAAGAAGGCGGCGGCGGGGTGAGTCAGTAAGAAGGGAGTTAGTATATGGAGTTTGGAGTCTAAAGGAGAGGGAAGGCGAGAGTCAGGTGTATGTCAGGGACTCTTCCTTCCTTCCTTCCGCTCCCCAGTGGCCACCCTACATTCTGTTCAAGGCAGATGTTTGCCTTAGCAATCTCCCAGTCTGTTTGCTGAGACCCTTGCTAAAGGAGAAGCCCAGAGCCCTGCTGTCTTTTGTCTGGATGTCTGGTGGTGAGCCAGAGCAAAACTGCTTCCTACTGCTCGTGAAACAGCCATATAACAAGTGTTTCCCTTCCGTTCGCACAGCAGAAACAGGAGAAGACCTCTGACCGGTCGTCGGTGCTGGAGATGGAGAAGCGGGTACGCACATCTCCTCGGCCGCCTGCTCATCTTCTTTTGACCTTCTCTGACTTTGTTGTTGGTGCCAATGGAAAAAGTTCATCTTAAGAAGGCGGAGCTCTGCCACATTCCATTCCCAGCGTAACGATCATTCTGTCTGACTCTGGACAGTAATTTGATGACCAGTCCTTTTGGCCTTCTCATGTAGTTGGTTACTTTGAACACGCCAGTTTTAGGGTGGGAAGGAGTCTTGGGAAGTCATCTCATGAATTCTTCTGTCTTCAGAACTGCATACATGCACAGAGCTGTAAGATATTTGGTTATTTACATGTGTACACAGGTCTAAGACTCTCTGCCCTTTCCATGACCTTGGACAGAATGGAAACTTTCAGCTGGTCATGGTGACACGAACCTGTAATCCCCACATTTGAGAGGCAGAAGCAGGACTGTCACAAATTCAAGGCCAGTCTGCACTACATAGTGAGTTCCAGGCCATCCACGGCCACATAGCAAAACCAATGTCACAAGGAAAAGGTAGCTAGTGAGGTGGCCCAGGAGTAAAAGGGCTTGCTGTGTACAAGCCTGGCAGCTCGGCTTCAATCAGCAGGACCCACAGTGGAAGGAGAGAACTGGTTTCCAAAAGTTGTCCTCTCACCTCCACACACACGCTGTGGTACACACGCGTGCATGCACACACATGCACACACATGCACACACATGCACACACACGCGTGCATGCACACACATGCACACACATGCACACACATGCACACACATGCACACACCACAAACGCACACGCGTGCATGCACACACATGCACACACACGCGTGCATGCACACACATGCACACACATGCACACACATGCACACACACGCGTGCATGCACACACATGCACACACATGCACACACACGCGTGCATGCACACACATGCACACACACGCGTGCATGCACACACATGCACACACGCGTGCATGCACACACATGCACACACATGCACACACACGCGTGCATGCACACACATGCACACACATGCACACACATGCACACACATGCACACACCACAAACGCACACACAAACGCCTTGTGTGAAGACCACCACATTAGAAAGAGAACAGCGGCCTCAGTGCTCGGAACAGAAATGACAGGGGGAGAGCTTGTTTACAGGAGAGCCCCAGGGCTCAGGCGCTGAATAAACAAGTAAACATTCTCAAAGGAAGTTTCTCATCAAGATCCCTTGCCGTTGACTTAGGTGTTATGATTGAAGACCTGAGAATCGGCCTTCATCAGCCCTCTGGTGGGGGGCATCTGGTCAGATTCCTGCCCTGGTCCCAGTTGTACTCAGATGTTTATCTGGGACTTGATATTCTTGGATTGGGAAAACTCAGATTTAGTGATGAACCCTAATTCCAATTTGACTCTAAGAATATAGTATGTTACCATCTTTCTTGTTGTCTGTTTAATTTGGAAAAGGCTATGTTTTATATTTCATTCCCTTGGCCTGTACCTCCTTGGTATCTCATCTAATTAAAGGCTCCTCATTGAGTTCAGGCTAAATTAAGAGTTACTAGCTGGGAAAGAAATGGAGGGGGAGGGGAGAAGCTGGCAGACAGACAGCGATGTCTCCTTCCCCACTGACCATGTGTTCCCCATCATAAAGGACGCAGTTCCTAAAGATGGTGGATTTTTGTTTCTAGAGCAAGGGCCCTAGTTACTTGCAGTCATTTGAAAACTTTAACTTGGAAGGAGTAACTCAGGATGCTGGTCTGCTTGTCTGCTAGCGGGTTGCCGCCCCTGTGTCTTCCAGCTTTCTGATAGAAGACTTAAGTGATCGCTCCATCCCATGGAAGCAGGGCGGAGTGCACATAGAGAAAGGTTTGCCCTGGTCTAGACAGACCCCGAGACCGGGAAGCTGCTGATGGTGCGGCGCATGGGAGGGGCTTTGTGATTGCTTCCTGACCCATTAGCTCCTCAACAAGCTCATTGTTTCTAAACAGGAGAGGAGAGCATTGGAACGGAAGATGTCGGAAATGGAAGAAGAGATGAAGGTATGCAGAGATGATCTTTGTCTTGGTGTGTGTCTGTTCTCTGTATGCCTGCCTCAACTGGATGCTTGAGCCTAGGCTTGCCCATTCTAACTGTCAGTGCCACCTGAGCACCCTCAGAGGAGATGACGTGTTAGAGGAAGTGAGCACGTCTTCTCAGCCATCTCTTAGGCTCTCTCAGCTCATGCTGCATCCCCTGTGGCCACCTCAGAGCAGTCGGTTGGTTTACGGGGAGACCAAGTTCAACTTCTAAGGTTTTCAAAGCAGTGACTTCTCCCTCCGGAGGCTGATAGAGGGCTAGGACAAATTCTCCCTGCTCTGCAGAGACCCTACTAGGGGAGCTCCGTGAAGCCTAGGCGTAGCACAGGCCTTCCTCCCTGTATGCAGCCCCTGCAGGAGGAACACAAGCTGAGTCATTGTACAGCAGTGTGAGGTGTATTTGCATATTGATTTCCCGTCCTAGGCCATTTCCTCTGCAGTACTTCAGTTCTTGGCCTTCACCCACGATTGCCACCTCAGGCTCCCATGTGCCCCACGTGAGGACTCACTGCCTGCCTTTTCTCAGGAAGACCAGCAATGACCGTCCCCTCCTGGAGCTACTTGAATGGCCTGTTGCCAATCTTGTCAGCCCATTGCTATAGGAGGGAAGATGGGGCTGGAAGGAATGTGAGCCCGCTTAAGATAGCCTACCTAAGATACTGGAGCAGCTCATCCCTGCAGGACATTGTGCTACATGGCCGTAGTCCCTCAGTACTTGCTCAGCTTTTTTCCTTTCATCAAGGATCTTATTTTGGTGGATATGTAATGCCAAGTCAGATGTAAATTTCTATAGCTAAGAAGCAGAAACCCTGGGACAGCATCAGACAATCTCCAAATGTCCTCGGTTGTGAGTAAGCATCTCTGGTATGCAGTTTGATTACTTTTCAAGAGACAGTTGTTTTAATGGCTTTAAAAAGATGTTATTTATGGATACCCCACCACCACACACCAAGTTTTCAGGGCCTAATCAGGTCAAAGGTCCTGGTTTTACCAGATCCTATATTCACAATCCTGTTACCCCTTAGAGTTGTAGAGTGGAGGGAAAACGTCAAGTCCTGCCCCTCGTTTCCTAGTCACCAACCCATGGCTGGGACTGGTAATAGTCATGTAGAAGTTGAAGCAATTACTACTTACCCCTCAAACATTTTAAAGTTCCTGGGTTGACTCAAAAGTAGTGGGAAGTAGAAATAGTGTTCAGTTCTCTTGAGAAGACAGAACACTGCCCTTACAGACGCCATTAAATGTTTCCATCTTCCAGATTTTCCAAACCCACCACCTCACGGACGTATTTTCTTCCTCTTAACGCAGTGTGTTAATGTTGCCAAACAGTTCTTCATGAACGAACACAGACAGCTCTGGGTGCCTGAGGGCTTCCCGTCTGGAACCCCAGCCCTGCCATCTGTACTCTGCTGTTAGGTAGCTGCCAGTGGTGCTGAGTGAGAAACGGCCTGGGCACGGGTGGCTAGAGAGAGAACTCAGTGGTTAAGAGCACTTGCTGCTCTTGCAGAAGACCCGGATTTGGTTCCCAGCACCTACATGGTGTTTTACAGTCACCTGCAATTCCAGTTCCAGGGGATCTGATGCCCTCTTCCAACCTCTGTGGGCACCAGGCACATACACTGTGTGCATACATATATGCAGGCAGAATACTCATACCCATAAATTTATACTTAAGTAAATATTTTTAATTAAAGCCTATGTCTGGGTATAGTGACATATACCTGTAATCCCAGCACTTGGGAAGCACAGGCAGTCTCTGTGAGTTCAAGGCCAGCTTGATCTCCATAAAGACCCTGTCTTGGGGAAAAAAAAATAAACAAAGGGCCTAAGAATATAGCTTAGTAGATAAAGTACTTACTTAGCATGCAATTAGCCCAGGGTTTGATCCTCAGGACCCCATAAACCAGGCCTGGTGGTGTACGCCTGTAACCCCAGCATTCAGGAGGTAGAAGCAAGAGGATGGGAGTTCACAGTCATCTTTGGCTACATAGCAAGTTCTAGGCCAGCCCAGGACACCTGAGATGCTGTCTCAAAGAAAGGGAGGGGAGAGAGAGATGCAGGGAATGGAAAGAAAGGACCTAGATGCTGCTCTGGAGCATATAAATCAGGCCAACGCTCACACTTCCCATGAGTACCCCCGAATCCCACAAACAGGCCGTGCACCCTTTGTGCCATACAGGACCCACACAAAGACTCAAAAGGGGAGTTTGGGCTTTTATTTCTATTCCATTCTAAACTGGCAAGAACAGAAGTTCTTCTGTGTTCTTAGTTGCTCTGAATCCTTTGGGTTGACACAGGTTTGCATGCTTCTTTCTCTGCTCTTATCCTGTCGAGCTGTGGACTTCAAAACTAGGCTATGAGTTCATTTCTTCAATATTTCAATAGAGATAGCAACACGTGAAAATATTTATTCTTTCTAATCAGAAGTCACTTGCCAACAAGTTTAAAGATAAATTGTTTAAGAGGCTGGAGAGATGACTCAGAGGTTAAGAGCACTGGCTGCTCTTCCAGAAGACCTGTGTTCAATTCCCAGCACCCACCTGGCAACTATCTGTAACTCCAATCCCAGAGGTTCCAGTGCCCTCTTCTGGCCACCTGTGGTACTACACACATGTGATGCAAAGACATACATGCAGGCAAAACACCCATACACATAAAGGGGGGAAATTTTTAATTATCAAGTGGAGCCAGATCATAACTGGTACTCAAACCAGTAATAAGCTGTTTTGAGACTTTGTTAAAAATCCACCTTATCACTCAGTCCCCATTATTTACTACTGCTACTTAAGCCATATGGCGAAGAAATGCCTGCAGACTGTGTTGCCCCTGAACATAATTTGCTCAGTCTTAGCATAATATTCCAGATTGCAAATTGTCTAGCTCCCTCTAAAGGACTATGGAGGAAGAGCATCAGAACCTTCCAGTCATACCAGTGGTAGGCTTCTGTCTGCAACTTCTCCAGATTCACAGATATATTATGAAGTTGGTGTGTCTGCTCTAAAGGAGTTGGAGAAAATGGTTGTTTATGTAGGCTATCATTTATGCTGACCAACTTTTCTAAGGACTAGTGACTAAGATATTTGTACATAAGATAGTCAGTGAATGGTATATTTGTCAAGTCTGGGAAACCTTAGCAGATGTGGGATCTAGTGGGCCTTGGGACCAGCTGCTCTGCGTTTGTGCACATTCCCATTATTGCAGAAGCTCAGGCTTTCCTGGAGCCTCAGTAGGGCACTATTTCTGGGGGTGACTTCCCGTGAATGCCTGGAGGCTCAGCAGGCACTCAGGTCAGAAAGTGACATCACTGCCTTTTTTCCCCGACACCAACAAAACCCAGAGGTCAAGTGAAACGGGAGGCGTGCGATGGGTCCTCCTGGTGTGGGTTGGGAGGTGGGCATGGTCTCTGCTTGGAAAGGTAAGTATGAATTCTCCCCAGGAGAAACTCCACTCCACCGGGTTGGAATAGATCTGACAGATCTGACAGGTGTGCATGTCCGTGAGCTGAGCCTGGCTCTGCACTTGTCTTGGGATGTCCATATCCAGTCGGACTACTTTCTGCTGCTGCTTCCTTGCTAGACCTAACCCGGTCCTTTCCCAAGCCCTTGCATGAGGAGGGCCCAGCAGCCATTCCCCTGGAAGTTGCTTCTGGGATCCTACTTTGCTTACTCGGAAGTACCACTAGCCAACTTGCCCCTGCTCTGCCCTTCCCTTTCTCACCTCCTTATCATGCTCGTTTTCATGACTGCTTCCTACAGAACATCCCACCAGACTGTTTCCTACCTCTCTCCGTCAGACTGATAGCTTCCAGATTCTTGCACCTAGAGCTGCCTGGGTTCAAATGGTAGACTAAGTCATTCTCCTAGTTCATTGCGGTCATGTCCCTGGGAGGCAAAGACCCTTCATATGATGACAGTGAGTGTATTGAAAGCTTTATCAGATGTCAACACAATGAAGGACACAAGCCAGGGGGGTCTGTGGTTCTTAAATTTGGTCCCTGCTCATGTCTTTAAACGACTCCACGTGCTGTTATGATCTCTCTCACCTGTCCCCTCCATGGTCACGATGCTGACGGTCAGCAGAGGATGGCCTAGTGACTCTCCTGTGGCTGCATGGAACTGCTCCTCGGCAGCCTCCCTTTGCGGGGGAGAGTCATTCTTCCTCTTGGACAAAGCTGTTCAGCAGTTTGTCTCTGATTGTTTTTCCTTTTCACTGTTGTCTCTCACGCTCCTTTCATTTTCTTGCTGGGTCACTCCCACACCATTGCCCACTAATCTTCCATTCCTGTCCTTTCTCACTGTGTAGTGTGAGAGACTTCCCTGATACCTGGCACCTCTCTTCCAGTCCTCACTATAACCCAACCCCTGTTTGCATAATATAATCATTTCCCTTTTCCAGAAGAGCTGATCGTCTGTTTCAAGGTCAGTTCACGCCTTAGGAAGGCATGCAGCAGAGTTGGCAGGCCTGTGCCGCAATCACTTTATTGAAGTCTTCGAGGCACTTGTGAACTATCAGGTATTGGGAAGACTGTCAATACCCGTTATCCTGTTCATTTGTAACACTGATGCACAGGTGGGACTAGACTACCACAATGATCCAGCCAGCTCCATCATCACCTGGCATTTATGATTTCCAGAGTGTATGTCTGTTTGAACATGTTTAAGCAGCTCCTAGCCTTGACATGAACCAGGGCAGAGAGCACACAGTTAGCCGTGAACTTAGTGATACATATAGTCATGTATAGCAGGTAGAAGCCAGCTGGCGGTTGCAGGACCCTGAACAAGCTCTGTGTGCTATTGAGAACTGGGAAGGTTAATTGAGCTTCCTTCAAATCATGTTACAGGCCCACCCAAAGAGCTGGCAGGTGTCATATCAGCCTTCTAAAGAATACATGTTCTATGCAGAAAGTGCTTAAGGAGAGTGCCCCTCTTGTATTGTTTTAATTAAGTAATAAGTTAAGAGAAAAACAGGAAGAAAACAAATAGGGATGGGGGAAGTGTGAGGACAAGATAAAGGAAGAGAGAGAGGGTGGTGTTTAGATTTAGGAATCCTCAGCTCCAGTCCCAGCGACAGTGAAGGAGTGTCCCCAAAGCTGCAGCTCTGCATGTGCCTTTGTCAGAAGGCCCCAAGCCGTATGGTGGCCTCTGACACTCCAGTGGTCCACATGTGGGTTCTGATGCTTGTCTAGCCCATCGCAGCATGCTGAGAGCACATCCAGGAACCACAGGCACAGCTCTTCCCTGCTGCATTCCCTTCCTTCCCCACCCTCCCCCCCTACAGCTCGCTCTCCTCACTGCTGCCTTTCCCATTTCCTTTCCTGCATGCACACTAAAAACAAAAACAAAAAGTCACGGAGTTTCTCTGTCCGACTTTCTTCTCCTCTGCTCTGTCTTGTCTCTGTCTTGTCTGTCTCCTTCGTGTCTCACTCTCTGCAGAACCTTCACCAGCTAAAACAGATTCAAACCTTGAAGCAGATGAACGAGCAACTGCAGGCTGAGAACAGGGCCCTGACCCGAGTGGTGGCCAGACTCTCCAAGTCCATCGAGTCCTCGGACCCCCAGGAGCTCTAGCTATTGCCTTTCCTCTCCACCTCACTTCCCTCCTCCACTGCTCCAGGCAGGTTTACTCCCCTTGCTGGTCCCAGAAGCCCAGTACCCTTCCATCAGTATCCCTTCCATCAGAGCCTCCGTGTCCAGGTATCTGTAAAACTTGTTACCTGGAGATGGAGCAGGACTCAGACCATCTAATGGGACATAAGCACCTCGTTCAAGGGTGGCAGTGGGGAGACTTGTCTGGGCAAGCAGAGTGTCATGTTAAAGTGGCCACATTACCTTCTCTTCCTCTAGAGACTGAATATAGATTTGCTTCCTCAGCTGCACATAGATATACAGCTGTGTAATTTGCCTGTGTGCATACATGTACACATATTTATTTCATTGATGGGGTCTTTGTCAACCTGAGAGAGAGCTTTCTCAGCTAACAGCAACCCAAATGCACCTGTACCAGTTAGGGCCTGGGATAACTGAGGGCAAGAATTCCCAAACCTGACGGCATGTTAGATCCATCTGGGAGCCATTACTATACACCATGTCTGGGCCCTTTCCAAATGCTCTATTACTTGGATTGAGACCTGGGCATCAGTATTTTTCTAAAGCTCCCCTGTTGGTGTATATGTGACCATGGTAGAGAACCACAGCCCATTGAATACCAGATGGAACTTAATCCCCACAAGTGGCAGCGCTGCTGGATAGAAAGGACTGGGCCGAAAGGCCAGGCTCCCCTGACCCCACCTCTGCCGCTAGCAAAAACCTCCTCCTTCCCGCCACTGGGACAGAGTTAGACAAGCATTCTTCGCCTCCTTCTGTAAGTCTTTGCCTTCATCCTCCTCTTTCCAAAACATTTGTCTCATTCCCCTCCCAAATCTCCTGGCTCTCGGGATGTATCCCTCCCTGCCCTGAGTATGTGGGCCTTGAGGCAGAACGTAGGCAATATAAATGAGCTTTCCTAATGGGTTTGGCTTTGCAAAGGAGATGGTAAGCAGTGGAGCAGAGCAGGATTTGTTTTCAACTGAAAACTACCCCTCAAAAAAAAATGTGTTTGGCAAACTAGAACCTTCCTCTGCCTGTGGATCTGAAAGACAAGCTCACACACAGTTTGTTTCCCCATCCCAAGATAGTGTGACGAGGTCACCACTTCCCTGAAATGAGTTTTTGATTTTCAGCAACAATCTAATTAGTCTCGACTGGAGCCTCTCCTTTTTTCTGCCTGTTTGCATTTGCCTTTAGGATCAGCGGCCGGCGATGAATACCCACGAGTACTGCAGCACCCAGATTACCGTAAGGGCTGAGCTAGTGTCCTGCTACAGATGCTCTCCCAGGCAGAAAGAGATGGAAAGGGGTGTGCCGCCACGACAGGGCAGTGAGCAGCCAGCAGGAGGTCCAAACTGTTTCAGAGTTAGCCTCAAAAGTCCTGAAAGGATGCTAGCATGTAGCTCTGTGGTGGAGCATGTGCTTAGTGTGCACCAGGACCCTTGGTTCAGTCCTAGCATGCACGCACACAGGTAGATACATACACTCTAGGAAATTTTGACCTCGGGAAAAGTAGAGGCCCCCAAAGTCCCAGTTATTTCTGTTTTCCCAATTTGTTGCAAGACAATGTAGGATATGGGGCAGAATTAGATCTCAGCCTTTCAGTGGTTAATAACTGTAACGCTTGGCTTCTATTAAAGCCTGTGCTGAGTGCAGTATGTTTTCCTGATTGGTTCCTCAGCACCATTGTATACATTTTACAAAGCCGGTTACAGAATCAGAAACAAGCCCAAGTCCCTTGGGAAGTAAATGGTTGAACAAGAATTCAAACACTGTTAGAGTCCAGGATCTGCACTCACACCACGTGATACAAACCATCTGTATATTTGCAGTCTTAACCATTCATTAAGCAACTAGGGCGTTACATCCGAGAGTAACAGACAGACATCTACCTTTTTAGTTCGCTGACTTACTTAAAAGGCCAGTTTCAGCCAGGTGTGCTGGCACATGGCCTTTAATCTGAGCACTGGGAGGGCAGGCAGGCATATCTCTGTAAGTTTCAGGCTAGCCTAGTCTACATAGTGAGTTCGAGGACCACCAGAACTGCAAAGAGACATCCCATCTCAAAAAAAAAAAATCAGTTTCCAAACAACATTTACCTGCCAAAAGAGCATGTCACTGTGATGTCATTGCCTGGTACATGACCTACAGTCAGGGAGGCAAACTGCGGCCCCTGAGCCATGCCAATAGTCAAAAAAAAGAAAGAAACCAAAAGAATTATATTTGACAAATAAAATTCCTATGGAATTCAGATTTCAGTGTCTAGAAATGGAGAGTTATTGGGAGCAAACCATACACTTGAGTTTCTGCATTTCAGTATCTGGCACCTGCTAGGCCTCAGTCATGGGAGAAGTAGCACAGCAGCAGACTGTGTGGCCTGCAACCTAGTCCAAAGTGCTTAACTGTGTAGGCCTCGACAGAAAGAGCCTGCCCGCTGGCTCCTGCCAGGAGGGAAGGTGAGATGACGAAGCCGAACTGGCAGTGTGGTCAGGAGACTTGGCCTCACACTCACCCCTTTCGAATCATCCCCTGCAAGTCCTAACTGAGTGCTTAGTGCCAGCGGCTCCATCTTCAGAGAAAGGGAAGACTCCCTGACACACCCTGACGCTTCGGGACCCCTGTCCCTGTCTTTAACATCATCATCATAGGCTAGATATAGGAAGTCATCTTGGGGAACGCATGTACTTGTGTCTGAGCATCAACATCAAACTGGAAGACTAGAGATTCAGAAGTGGAGAAACTGAAGTCTAGAGAATGGGTGCGCTCTCTAAAACCTCGTGCGTGGACAGGTCTTTCACACGTGGTCCTGTGTAACTTAGCACTGTTCACTCCCCTCATTGGAGCGTGGAGTCTGGGTCTCCCTTCCTCGGTCTCTGCACGCCACTGGTACTTTACATTCTCCTAAGATGTTAAATGTTGCAGCTGTGAACTTGTCTTGTCCATCTTTTTGCCCCCAAAGAATTGAGTTCTTAATGTGGAAAAAAAAAAATCACCAGCACTAACAAATTGTCCCTTTTTTTTTGTTTTCTTAAGCAGCTCAATTCTAACTTGGTGAACAGTGAGCACAACTCATTGTCATAGATACAGCTTCTTCACACCTATGGGATCCTGCTAAGAAATAGGGTTTTCGGGGGCTGGAGAGATGGCTCAGTGGTTAAGAGCACTGGCTGTTCATCCAGAGGATCCAAGTTCAATTCCTAGCACCCACATGGTCTCACAACCAACCTATGCAACTCCTGTTCCAGAAGATCCAGTGCACCCTTCTGGCCTCCACAGGCACTAGGCATAGACACACGTGTGAGCAAAACACCCATCCATACAAAAGAAAAAATTGTAAATTGAAAAGTCCCACCCAGGCAAACAACCCCCAGCTGGAACAGTAGAGAAGAGAGGGAAGGTGCCAGCCTAGGCAGAGCTCTGAGGACTCCCTTCTGAGAGGCGTGGAAGAGGCCAGCCAGAGCTGCTCTGCGCTGGAGGAGAGACGGGGCCAAAGACAAGCTGTTTCCTGATTCCTCAGAGTCCAGTCCGCTCTTCCAGATTCCTGGGGAAACTGAGTGGTAGCAGGGATCCCCAGCATTGCAGAGCCCATTACAGACACTGGTGCCCCCATGTCTCTGACTCCTGTCAGCCTCTCAGAGGCCCGTCTGTGAGGGAACGGGGCGGTTACGGTTCTTTTAGCTACCAACAGAGAAATACAGAGAAGTGGTTTGTCTAAAGCAGTGGTTCTCAACCTTCCTCATGATGTGGTGACCCCCAACCTTAAAATTATTTCATTGCTACTTCAGAACTACAAGTTTGCTACTGTTATGAGTCCTAATGTAAATATCTGATATGCAGAGTATCTGACCCCTATGAAAGGGCTATTTGACACCCTCCCAGAGGGGTCGTGACCCACAGGTTGAAAACCTCTTGACTAAAGCATGTGGATCATTGAGAATGATCACTCCTGAATTTGTTTCTGTGCTACAATACTTTGGTGTTTTGTTTCCCGTTCCTACCTGTAATGAAGAGATAGTCTTTGGACTTGGTCACACGTGGGTATAATTTCATCACTAGCACTTGAGTAGCTAGTGGCCCTGGACTAGTGATGGCCTTCTGTTCCCTCATTTATAGAGACAAGGACAGCCGCAGCACAGGCTCCTGAGGTGCCAGTGAGACCTTCTAACCCCTACATTGTAGATGTTGTTTTCCCTCTGTTCTCTGACCTGGGCTTTGGGAGTATGTGTACGCGCGCGCGCGCGCGCGCGCGCACATACACACACACACACACACACACACACACACACACACACATGCACACGATTGCATAATGTATCTTCCTTATGAGGTTGGGGAAACAAAGATCATATTTCTTCAGGTGCATTATAGATTCTCTAGTTTAATAGCAATGGCAAGAGCTTGAACTACATGGCCATGATTCCTGAGCCCAGGCCACCCTTTTCTGGAGGCCTCGCTTACTGTCTGAATCCTGAAGGTTGAAATGACTGATCAATGAAAGAAAGGGTGTCTGCGTGACAATGATGATACAGATTCCTGGAGCCTTTGTTGTGAAAATGTATTTACCATCTAACCCCAATCTCCCAGCAAGGCCCACACAGGAACTGTAGCTCATTAAGATTTTTCAGATATACCTAATAACTGTCAAAGTGCCTGATCATATAATAAAGACTTGGGTGTCCAAGCTGGAACTCGCTCTTCCTGTATTCCTTGAGTTGAGCAACAATATGTGTTGTGTTCTAAGTGGAAAAACTGACAGATGGAATCTTCACTCCATCCCTTTTTCCATAAGCCTCTGTTTGCCGGAATGATTCTAACACCATCCACCAAAGCACTGGGAAAGCCCCCTGGGTCTTGGCCATATCTGTCAGTTCCCTGGATGTTAATGTTGAAAACAGGCGTATGTATAGTATGACCAATGAGAATTTGGACGGATTCCAGCTACCAAAGGCACCAGGATGACCTTGGTCATCTTGGCATATGGCAGAAAGGCCAAGTTCTGTTCCTCAGCTTGCATTTGGTTCTTACTGGGGTGTGAAGCAGAGCCGTTTATCTCTTAAAGGTCACTGTCTCTCTGACTCCTTGCTGAACTCCTCCCCTGTGCCCTCACCAGCATACTTTGGCAGTCTCCCCAGTTTCTCTAGGCTACAGGGGAGTTCAAGGGCAGGAACAATTGCAGACAGCTACTGGCTCAATAGACTAGAACTATAGGCTATGTGGAATGTGAAGCTTAGAGACGACGGGCTGGGTTTCCCCCAGACACTTACATTTCCAGCCCAGTAAATAGGAAGACCGAGGGGGTTGATCCCTAAGCAAAAGGATAGTAACAGCTGATCACACAGCCGTCTCAGGGGGCCCTGCTCACCTGCTGGGCTCAGCCTGGGAAGGTAGGGCCCTTGTGCCAGGCTCTAACACCACCTCCCCTCTGTCGCCACAGGTGTTAACAGAACTGAAGTCCGACAACCAGAGGCTGAAAGATGAAAACGGTGCCCTGATCAGAGTCATCAGCAAACTGTCCAAATAGAGGAGGCCAGATCTCGGGGAGGGGACAGCATTGCTGCCCACCCTTCCTTTCCGGGCCCGGCCTTGTGGCCAGAAGCAGCGAAGGTTTGGGAAGAAGGGCGCCTCCTCCCTTCTGGTCCTCGTCGGTCACCTCTGCACTCCACACTGTACATTTCTCTGCACTCTGTGCCCCGTTGCCCCCGCACCTCTGTCCCCAGTTTCTGACAGTTTTAACTGAAGCATGATTGTGACCATTTCAAGCAGTCTAGAGAAGGCTTTGCGGGGTACACTAAGCTCAGCTGTGGACCCCCAACTTTCTGCTGCTTTGTCCACATTGGTTTCGGTACAAAATGTAAGGCTTTGACCCATAGCCTTTACACTGACCCGCTGTCCTTTGATATAGGTGAGTCTTGTGGTGGCCACCCCAGGATCCTATCTGGGGTGCCAGGAGAGAGGGCAGAGTGTGGAGGTACTCTCTGGACTGCCTCGGGAGCTGTTGCGTAGAGTCCAAGGTGATTGTGACTCTGATATTCACCTCTCAGGGACTGACTTGTTTTAACTTTTCTATCAATAACCTAGAACTGCCCTGACTGGTCTTAACCCCGTTTCCCCCTTTCCACAAGGCTTGGATGGCCCTGGACTCTCTTGCTCCTTTTCTTTCTGTCTTTTTATGATTTCTCCACCCAGCCTGATGGCATAAAGCTGAAACAGAGCTCCTGACCTCAGCTGTTTGGGGCCATTGTGGAAAATCATCACGGTTGCCTTGGTACCATGACCCCTGTCCCAGCAAAGCTAGAGGATGGCTGAAGGGGCAGCCCGTTGTTCACATCTCCCACTTGTCTGCTCACAAAGTGATTTTCTGGACTCTTCAAGTCAGACATAGTAGTAAACACCTATAATCCCAGCACTCAGGAAGCTGAGGCAGGAGGATCAGAATTTGAGGCCAGCTAATAGCAAGACCCTCTCCAGAAGAAGGAAGTGTGGATTCTGAAGACTGGAGTTGGCCTGGCTTCCTGTGGCTTTGTTTTCTAGTCCACTTGTGCACATGCTCCTCATGAGGAACGAGGTGTTCAAGGAGGCCTGGAGGAGAGTGAGGGGGGAGCCAGACTAGGGATGGAAACGGGCTGGAGAGCATGTGAGGACACTTGGAACACTGGGCTTAGGCTGTGAGATGGCGGCAGTCACACTCGGGGAGAGAGAGACAGTGCCCTTCTTAGAAGCCAGCAGGAGAAATGACTGCTGGGGGAGAGACAGAAGAGGCTGACGTGCGTCCAGCCCGTAAGACTCTTTAAGAGTAGCAAGGCTCGTGCATCTGGCCCAGCTGCCTTGTGTTTCAGGGACCCCTCTCTGCTACCATAGCTTTGGCCTGTGGTCAGCCTTTGGTAGCTGTGCATTTATTACTTGAAGGGTGGGCCCCTCTAGTAACCAGAGTTTTTACTAATAGAAGCTGAGGTCTCCTGCTCCCTGCCTGCCCAGCACGTTAAATATGGCTGGGTGGTGGTTTCTACTTCTCTAGTCCCTTCAGACCTCTGCAGATGTCATGATTTTGATGCCTGCCACATCTTGACTACTGTCCCCTGGAGTCTAGGCACAAGCAGCCCTTTAGATTATCGTGCCTCAGTCTTTAGAGTATCCCATGATTCCAGCACATAGTTAAAGAACTAGTTCTCATCGATGACCCAGTGTTGATGGGGATAATGCTTGATTTCTGTAGGCATTTTGTCCTTTGGATCACATTAAAGGACAGGTCCTTTAAAACCTCGTTATCTTGGGGTTGCCAGTGATGCGGACCATTCTCACACTACCTCTGTTATTTTATTTCATGAGGACAGCACTGTCCTTTTCTGTGGCCCTTGCAGACTTCATGTGCTCTTAAACAGACGTTGTAATTCAGGGTCCCAGTTACAGAATAGGACCATGCTCACTCTGACACACTTTGAGCACATACAAGATTCTCTTTTCCGTTTCAACCCACTCTATTATGGAGCACTGAGCCCAGGTCTTAAAGAGGACTGAGCCACAGTGAGAAAGACCTGTCTTCTGTACAGGAAGCATTCTCTTCTTGCCGGGAAATGTCAACAAAGTGTTAGCCAACTGAGTGTCCTGGAGTGGCTAGGGCACTGAGAAAGGGGATTGCTGCCTTGTCCTTAGGAAGAGAAAATGAGATGTTAGGAAAACATTGAGCTTTTTCCACTCGTAGACCAGGAAAAGGTGTCGCCGAGTCCTATGCCTGTGGGCCTTTTGAAGTGTCAGGGCAGGGTCTCAAAACTCACCAACTGGCATTAATGCCCGCTGCTGTACGTGGCCCTCCGTGTTAAGATGCCACCTCTTGCCAGGAAGGCTGCCTTGTGACAAGTTATTTATAAGCTTTTCAGTCTCAGGAGTACTGGACTCTGTAGCCAAGAACTTACCATAGTACAAATGATCATAGGTAATTCCAGGCACTTCCTTTTAGGCCACTAATTTTATTAGTGAATTTGTTCTCTTCAAAATGATATTGACTGAAAGCCCCCATGAAAGACATAGGCCCTCTGATGGCCAGCTAGACTCTCGGTGCTGGTCCCTTTTCCTCTGTTGCTTGGCCAGTTACACACTGGAGGTCTCCCCGGTGGCTTCTTGTGAGTAGTCTCACAGCTGGAGCGTAGCGACCCGCTGCAAGCAGGTAACCATACAGGACTCAGCCCTGTCACAGACCGGTCTGCATGGGAAGTTCAGATGGGGACAAGAATGTTCTCACTACACATCACACTCTATGTTCTCATTCATTTCACAGCTTTGGAGTAACGACTGGGCCAGTCCAGAGATTCTGGGGCTCCTAGAAGTGCTGGCTCCCAGTACCCACGTCTTGAGGGGAAGAGTGAAGCACATTTAAGGTGTTGTCTCCAAAGAATCTAAAGAACAGATCGATCCTGGGCCCACTTGGTCCACTGAGTTCTCAGCTGGGCTGTTCTCATTTCCTAGACCCTCCTGGCTCTGTCCAGCAGTGGGGTAGAACTTGTTCTCACCCCGCTTTCCCTGCTTCTGTCCCAGTCCTCAGCCCTCTAGACGCAAGCCTTGTTGCATGAGGTGGCTTCTACCCAGGAAGTACAGGAGTGGAGTGTATGGGCCTACAAAAGAGTACATAAACCAGAGATGAAGGAGGAACTCTCCAAGTCAGGCCCTTGGCAGCCATTCCTAGCAGAGACAACTGTCTCCACCCAGTATTCAGTACTGACAGTGCTGGCACTTGTTAGGAGGTGAGGCCTCGGTGACCAGAAGCCTGGGGAAGAGAGGTCTGTAGAAAACATCTGTCAGCTGCTTCCGGACTGTCCTCCCTCAGGATGGGGAGGCTCTAGTCCATGGTTCCATGCCTTTTCAGAAGTGGGCCCTGCCCAGATCCATGCCTGATTATAGGTACATCTCGGTTGCCCTTCTGTTCTGAAGGTAGGTGCAAACCCTCAAACAGTATAGTTCCCTTGACCCAGGAAGTGAGGCAGATTTGAGGGCAGGATAAGGTGCACACAGTTAAGCTACAGGGAGTCCAGGGTCATCTTATTTAGCTGTAACCCTTGGGCAAGATAATCTTTTAGGGTCCCATTGAGCTTAAAATTCTGTGATTTATTCATTTCTAGAAAAATGAGAACATTTTTTTGACGCTTAGATTTCTGCTTCTTTTCAAATTTTCAAGATCAGTCTTGTTTTCTTCCCAGATTCAAGCTGTTTAAGATCAGGATGCCAAGGCTGACCCCTCCTCCCTGTTGGAAAGAGAATTTAACGTTGAGAGCAACTGAATAGTGTTGTGATTGCTTTTCCTCCTGGTGGTTAGGTAAAGATGTTACCAACCTGAAGAGGTGGCGATTGGAGCTGGTGGGGGATGGATAGAGCAGTGTGTCGCCAGGGAACCAGCTGCTGCTTGGAGGCTTGCTCGGCCACCTCTCCCAGAGGTGACCAGTACTGCTTCTCAGTACCCAAGCAGCAGACTTAACTGCGATTGTGCTTGGCACCAGCTAGTTCCTGGTCTTGAACTCTGCCTTGAGCAGCAAGAGTGTTCTGTAGTGAAGACCACAGCTGTTACTTCGGCTGAGCTCTGCCTCCGAGCGCTAAGCTCTTAGAAGTGGGGCGCCCTGGAGCTGTTCAAGGTGGTCTTCCACAAGAGATGCTACATTGCTTTTGTAGCTGTTTACAGATGCCACAAACCACATAGCATCGAATGGTGCCCTGCCCTGGCCAGACTCCTGCAGTCAGGGCTGGATGTGAGGAAGGGGCCAAACCCTGGGAGTGGGTGCCTGCATGCTACAAGGGTAAAGGCAGAGGGAGGGTCTTTGAATTGGAACAGGGTGGAGATTGTAAGCACTGGGAGAAAGGAAGGCAGATTTCTGCACCTGGAAGTGCGTTCTGTCTCATGAGTTCATCCCTCAGCTCCAGCTGAGGCTGAGTGGAGATTTTAATCAGCCTTCCTAATGGGTATTGACACTGCTCAGAGCAGTCGACTCTGTCAGAGACAACTATTGATTGCTTGTGTTCTGATTAGATTGGAAAAATAGATCAACTTCATTATAGCCCAGAAGCTGTCACTGTCACAGCTACAAAGGAATGAAGTGGTCTCTGAGGGCTGAGGAAAAACAACTGAACTCCCAACAAACCAGAGGGCAGCTGAAAGGTGTATCCATGGCTCCTTGAGAGCTGTGGTTAAGGGTCACAATTGTCCTGAGGTGTGCCTTGCAACCCAGTACCTAGATGTCCACTGGCAGGCTAGATGGTGGAGGAGGGAACTTGTAAAGCCCATGGCACTGATGTATGTTCTGGCCTTACCTCGGAAGACTTGGCAATGTGAGGGTCTCTTCCAGTCTGGGAACACACACACACTTGCCAGGCTGGAGCTTTCAAAAAGAGGTCTGGCATTTTCTTGATTAGAAATGAGAACTCAGAAAGCAATTTTATCCAAGTGTACTCTATTTTCCTCTTCCTATAACCACTTCCCAAAGGACTTCTCTCTCCCAGCTTGGGAATCTGCCAGAATGACATTTTGTTATTTCTTCTCTAAATTTTCCCCTACTGCTTCCAATAAAAATGTACTTGGGTGGCCCTTGAGGTGTCAAGATGCTAGTGCAGGTCCTTCCAAATAAGGACTCTTCCCCTCCTGCCCTCCTCTCCGCCACACTCCTTAGGCCTTGCTTCTACACTTGGACTCCATGGTGCTTAAGGGAAGAGGTTTCCCATTAATCAGCCAAGAGGCCTGGAAGATGTTCAAACGCCAACAGCATGTCTTCCCACCCCCCACCCCCGCCCCAGCCAGCCCCTACTGCACTTTCAAAGCCCCTCAGAGACAAGGTTTGGTTTATGGGTCTGGATGATTCCCCTGTCACAGGGTGTGTCTAAGACACTCATTCCGTCTTTTCCTGAGGATGTGATTGGTCCCCACGCGTAAGGCAGAAGTGTCTCCTCAGCACAGGCTGGACTAGTTTGTGTAGTGACAGCCACTCAGCCAGGTGGGAGAGAAGGTCCAGAAAAGGCTGGACTGTGAGAGTCCTCATGCCTGAGACCTCTGGCATGCTCTTGGACCCAGAGCTGGGGGTCAGAGCAGCATCCTGAACAAGGGACACTCAGGGCCAGCACCAAGTGCATGTGTCTGTGCTGTTCTCAACCCTGCTCTCCTGAGACCTCCCGCAGATCCCAGCTTATCCTTGGACGGGAGAGACCAGTGCAAAGTGACTGTAGGTAAAGGCACTGGAGTGGGTACAGGAAAAAGAGTTCCGAGACTGCGCCCGTCCAACACGCCCACCTTACCAGTCATCATCCATCCCTTGAGCCCTGGGCAGGTCGGGCCTCCTCCTGGCCTGACCTTAGCACAGCCGAGATTACCCTGAAGAGGGAGTGATGTGCGGCAGCCTCTCCCTCCTGCAGGGACAAGTGGTTCAGAGCCCGGCTTCGGCTTCAGTTTTCCCCTTCCGTGTGTCCTTTCCCTGATCTTGATCACCACTTGAGCGCTAGCATTTTGTATTTCCTCTCTCCGCCCTTCCCCATGCTTCACGCACCCAATGGAGCTGTTTTCCAGCTGAGTTGTGTGGATTAACTTCAGTCAACTGTAAATACACCTGGAGGAGGCTCCTGAGGCAGGGGAAGCCAGACTGGCTTTGTGAACTGAATGTATTTTTATGCAACTTTGAGTGGCCTTTCAACCCTGAGATGGATGGATTTGCTTTACTGGTTGTTATTATATGGTATTAAGTGTTCTGTGTTTGAAAGTTTGGGAATAATATTCACATCTATGATGCCTGTAAACACAACAGTATTTATAAATGAGCAAATAAAACTGTGTTTTAACTTTGTGCCATGAGACTGATAGACCTTCCCATTCACCAGGCGGCCCCCAGTAGTTCCCACTGACTTAGAAGTCTCTTTGCATGGGCAGCCACAGGTTTGTAAGTCACACCTGCCCTGCCTCAGGAAGGTCTCTGGGAGCATCAACAGATTTCCTGGGTTGACTGGCCAAGGAAAAGCCTCAGGTTTCAGAACAATCCTGAGAAGAAATCAGGGTTTCCGGTGCCTAAGGGGTGCCTGTCTCTTTAAAGGTGAAAAACAGGGGTGTGTGGCCCACCTGATAGACCCTAACGCCCACACTACCTAGGGAAGCTGGGGTCCAGAGAGCTGCTGGTGGTGCTGGCCTCTGGCAGGCCCCCAGCCCCACCCTCGGGCCTCCACTGTGGAAAGGAGGGTTCCTTAGGTCACTGAATCAGGAGATCCAAAAATCACTTCTCAGTTCTAAACTATGCAGAAGAAGCTGTCGGTCATCTGAGGTTGAGTCTCAACTCGGAAGGAAAGGAGCCTAGCTCGGGGAGTTGTGGCACAGGCTGCTGGTAGGGCTTGGGGTGTGCAGCCAGGCTTTGGGTCTGCTTTCTGCCAAGTGGAAATCCTTGGTCACTGACTGGGGAGGGAGGGAAGATTCTTTCCCCTTGCTGTCACCCAGCAGCGACAAGAAATAGGCATGATGTCATGGTTGAGGAGTTCAGCCCTGGCCTTGGCCTTAGAGCAGAGGCAAAAACATGAACACAAGGGGTTCCTAGACCACAGACGTCACTGCTGCTGGCTGGGTGAGGTCTGTGGAGCCAGCTTCATCCACTGGTCATGAGTACCAGCCTTCCTGGTACCTCCTTGTAGCAGAGCAAGGCACTCACATTCTCGGTCCTGTACAACCAGGCCATCTAGCCCATGGCCTCCGGGACTGAAGCAGCCAGACACCTGCCAGCTCACACAGGCGCTCTGCCCACCTGCCTTCACTGCCCCTTGGCCATCTGGACTGGACACGAAACACAAGTCTAGTGCATGATGGTCCTAGACAAGTGACAGGCTCTGGGGCTGGGAATAAGAGTGTCATCCTCTCCTGGTCTTGGCCATGTTGTCCCCTACTCTGCCCCTAAGCATTCTGAAGCCTGACTGGTCCCTGGTATCCCTGCCTCATCAGTCACAAACAGATAACCTTTTTTATCAAGCAAGATTGGGGACTTTGTAGTTTCCACTTTTTAAATATCTACACCCTGGGACCAGCAGCCTCCCTGTTGTCAGGGTCAGACTGTGGCTGTCCCCTAAGCTCAGGTCCTCTGGAGGGAACTCACCCTTGTGGGACAACCCTTGTCCTCCCAGGAGGGTGGGCCCCCGTGTACATACCACCCACCAGAAACCCCACCTGCCCTTCCCCTGAACCCAGAAGAGAATGGGCCATGACCCCTTCATGCTGGGCTAGAGGCCAGGGCCCCAAAACCAGCTCACCTCCCTCCCCAACCTTGCTGACCCACAGGGACAACTCTCCCCTCCCCAGTAAAAAAAGTAGAAATGCTCCCCGCCCCCAGGTTGCTTTCAGCTCTTTTCTTTAATAAGGAGACGCAGCTCATTACAAAATAACAATGTGACGAGAGATCAGACAAGAACAGAGTCCACACAGGGATGGAGAGCACAGTGCCAAGCAGAGTGGGGGAGGGGAGGGCTACCCATGGCCTTCTTATGAAGAGAGGGAGGGCTCCTGGTGGGGCCAGTGCATTCCAGGGGGGGCGTGGGCACACTTAGGTTCTGCCCCAGCCCCAGTTTTGAAAGTTCCTGGGCCCAGGGTTTTCAGAAAGCAGATCGAGTCCTTAGATGAACAGGAGGCAGGAAGGATGGTCAGACTTCCAGGTCATTTCCCTAAACTCCTGGCTGCTGAGGAAAGCTGGGGTGAAACTGAGGCCCTCACACTGCTCCCACCACCTGGCCAAACTCTCCTGCCACTGTTCCCAGTTTCTGTTTCTGTGGAGAGTGGGGGGGACTCCAGCCAACCCCAGTCTGCACTGAAATGGTCGCTCCTGTTGCTCTGTCCTTCATGCCAGTAGCCCAAAGGCCCCTGGGACTTGCGTGTGCTCAAGCAGCATGGTTTGGAAATGGCAGAGTCCCCTTGTTGCCTCTGGCTTTGTCCAGTTCACTTTCCCAACTCTGCCTGAGGTCCCCTGCATTAGTAACCTATGACTGCCCTCCTGGGGAGCCCTGTGGGTGCCCATGCTGCTCCCGTTCTCTCTACCCACACGGTTACCGGTTACCGCTTGGATGCCTGCCCAGGCTGCCCTGGGAGCCGATGTGAGGGTCAGAGCCTAGTGTTCCCTGTTCTGAGTCACCCCTCATCACCACACCTGCCACCTTGCTCGCAGGGCCACCCTGCTCTCGTGGCACTGCCAGACCAAAGAGGGAGTGTGGGCAGAAAGTCTAACCCACGGCAGTCCTCGGTGTTCCTCACAGGTCACTCCTCCACTGCTCTCTGTGGGCCCTGACAGCTCAGGAAGAAGTAGGGTGGGCTAGCCTTGTTCATCCCAGACCACAGGCTAGGCTTCTGACGGCTCCTAAGAACCCTAGTTGCCTCTACAGGCCTCGAAGATGGCATCTAAGCCACAGAGTCACACCACTGCCCTGCCTCGACCCGGAGTCCCACCATCAGACCTAAGCCGAGAAAGCCAGCCAGGGGCATCTCCTGGGACCCCACCAGAAGCCCTGAAACACCAACTGTCCTCATGACGCCGAGCTAAGGGAGCAAGAGAGGGTAACAGACAGGTGAGCCCTTCACAAGTTTTCTGTGGGGAGCCAGTTGGAGGGACAGGGGGTTCTCCTGGGAGGAGTCAAGGGCAGCCTCCTGCAGGAGGCCCCTTTATGGCTTTTCAGTTTATTCACGACAGTGGGAAGAAAGGAACCACGCCACACACATGGAACATAAAAGCAACATGACATCAGACACAGGCTAGACAGCGCACTGTGCCCCAAGGGTTAGCCTTGCAGACAGACATGCAGCAGGCCTGCCTCAGGGACAGTGTCCTCCAGCATCTTCCCCGGGCAAGGCTGGCACCCGGGCCAGAACGTTGTCTCCCATTTTGGACATTCCCTGTAGGGGACGTAGGGTGGGACTGAGGACAAAGACTTTACACAACATAAAATCAAGGGGCAGCCAGTTTTGTAAAACAGGTTTGGGGTTGGGAGATCAAGAGGACGCTCAGCATTGCCATGCGGCTATTTACAGAATTGTAGACATGCATCTTGATTAAACAAGATTCTGCTCATAGGTTTATAGATAGCATCTTCTTTTATAATATATAACTAAATGCACATGGAGGGGTCAGATGAGGCTCAATGGCTTCAGAAGTTTCCTGTTTTGTTGTTGCTTAAAAAATAAAGTATATTCATGTAGCTTCAAGTCACAGTATCCCCTTCTTAATATTGCAGTTCAAAAGACAGGTTAAATCCAATCTGTGGTAACCGACCTCTAGCCCCCGGGACTGAAGAAAAGAGGGATGGAGTAGCCGGAGGGTACAGTGCCAAACATAATACAGGATTAGCCACTTAAATTTAAATTTCACATTAAACAATGAATCACTCTATAGTAGAGTGTGTCCCAAATATTGCATAGGACATACTTCAAAATTATTTGTTTATCTGAAATTCAAGTTTAACCAAGTCTCCTGTATTTGTATTTGCCAAATCTGGCAGCCATTATGGGGCTCTGGGCCACCTGCTGCTACCCGTGGCTCTGACAAAGACCCCAACCAGCCTGCGGTGGGAGCGAGACAGAGCAGGAGGCATGCAGAGGACTGGGGGGGGGGGGGGGGGGGGGCGGGGTCCAGTCTTCCTAACCTGGGGGAGACTGCCGCTGTGTCCGCCCTCAAAGATGGGCTCTCCTCCAGAGTTGGGGGACCCGGGATTCTTAAGAATGACATATGACATTAAAGGGACAAGGGATTTCTTCCCCTTCGCTATCACCCACCCCCACCCCTCCGAGTAGAAGGGAGGCATGTTTACACAGCTACTTTTACAAAGAAGCCTGTGGTAAAACCTTCCCACCTTCCTCACTGAATCACTCCTGAAGAGGCACAAGCTCTGTGTTGGCTTCCTGGGGAGAAAGAAGATGGGGGGGGGGGTGTCTCCGGCTGGGCCTCACCCTTGCATCTCAACACAAGCGCCTGCTGTTTGGGGCTCCCCACTCTGCAGGCCTCAGCCTTGGTTTCCATGTCTCAAAAACTGCCCACAGCACCACAGAGCTTACTCCCGTTCTGGGAGAGTCATTCAGGGAAGGACATGCACCCCCAGATTCCAAGTAGGATTGGGTTTGGTTTTCATGGTCTTAAGCTCTCTTTTGGGGGGAAAAAAAACAACTCTAAAAGTACTTTCCTCTCTTTGGGTTGAAAACTTCCAGCCCCAGAAGTACCCAGAATCCCTCACCAGCCCAGAAACATTGACTATCTTGACTTAATGCTGATGCTCCAGCACCCCGACATTCCAGAAATAAACCCCCGTGGCAGTGAAGGTTTGGAATGCTGGAGTTCGGGTCACATCAACCCCTGGGTGCAGGAAAACTGAAGCCTCAACATGTTCCTGCCTAGCTCCTGCACTTGGAGAGGTACCATCTGCTTGGGTGGCTCGTGAGGGACCAGCCCTAGGCCTGGGGAGGAACCACTCCCGGCATCCATGCTGACTCCAAATTAGTGATCAGAGTCAAAAAGCCCCGGCGGGCTGCCCACAGAAATGAGCTGCAGCCTGTCTGTAAGGCCGGGGACACTAAAACCACAGGGACTGTTCCTTCCTCCTCTGTGAGCAGTGCAGTAGGACTATGGACTATGAAAGGGCTGAAGGAGGTTCACAGGAGAGAAGCCAGGGAGTTAAAAGGTGGATTGGGAGGACCGGAAGAATGCAGGCAGAAAGGCAAGGGAGTTCCTGGGAATGTGGTTTATGGAATGTGGGTGAGAAGAGCCAGTGCAGGGAGGGACCTGGGAAAGCACCAAAGTTCCACAGCTCTGGGGATAGAAAACACTTCCAACGTCCATAT